AAAAAAAAAAAAAATATATATATATATATATATATATATATATATATATATATATATATATCTTTATTTATTTCAGAGAGGAAGGGAGAGAGAGATAGAAACATCAATGATGAGAGAGAATCATTGATAGGCTGCCTCCTGCACACCTCCTACTGGGGATCCAGGCATGTGCCCTTGACCGGAATCAAACCCAGGACCCTTCAGTCCGCAGGTCGACACTCTATCCACTGAGCCAAACCGGCTACGGCACCTCTCAGTTTTCTTTACATACACTGAGTGGCCAGATTATTATGACCGCCCCATCAGTACTTCATTGACACTTCCAAAAATACTGAATATTGAAAACTTCCTAAGTAAATACTCTCAAGGTTTTATTATTATTATTATTATTATTATTATTATTATTATTTGCATAACTAATTCACTTCATTGTACTGATGGGGTGGTCATAATAATCTGGCCATTCAGTGTATATTGATTGGGGAGAGAGAAGGGCTTGTTGTTCCACTTATTTTTGCATTCATTGATTTTTGTATGTGCCTTGACCAGGGTGTATCGGGACGATGCTCTTATTGACTGAGCTACCCAGCCAGGGCCTTCTCTCACTTTCTTGTCTGTAAGGGGATGATAGTGGTGTCTGCATTGTAGGATTATGATGATGGTTGAATGATTTAATATTTTCAAAGTGCTAAGAACAGTGTCTGCACATAGAAAGTGCCATGTAAGCACTTGGGAAACAAAAATTAAAACAGGAGGATATTGTTCTAAGAGTTCACGTCGTAGCTGTGCCGCTAAGAGTATAACAGAGAAGGCGGCGGGCCGGGGTCTGGTCCGGTTCTGTGTGGACGTGTGACCGAGAGCAAGTTCCTTTCCCTCAGTGGGCTCAGTCCCTGCTCTGCAAGTGGGAGGGTTGGACACCTGCTGGCCCCTGTGCCCATCCAGGCCAGCCGGCTCCCATGCCTCTCACGGTCCGCATACCTTTGGCCTCTCCCTGAGCTGTGACTGCGGAACCTGGGCCAAGGGCGGGTGAAATGTGAGCTGGAATGTTTGTGCTCTCAGAAGGGAGGGAGGCCCACTAGATCTTTTCAAAACTCACATACTGACTTGCAAATCAGGTAACAGAGACACTCCGTGAAGGGCCCGATTGTGCGGCTGGGACAAAAAACCCACTGGCCTCGGTTATCTCCTATCCTCTCTGATTTCTCCTTTCTTTTCCTTGAACTTAGAGAGAAAGGGGTCTTTGAAAATGTCCATTTCGAAACCACAGGTCTCACATTGCCCAACCTCCTCCCCCATCCAAATACATGGTTACCTTCCCCCCTACGAGAAATCCGAGTCTCCTCGCCTGGTCCTGTGACACCAGGCGCATTGTCAGCTCTCGGAGCCCCAGGGTCTCCACCCTCCAGTGGACACAAGCACCCCTTCCTGCCAATCACCTGGGAGAAGGGCTCCAGGGAGCTGACCGTGTGGGCGGTACAGAGGCCCTGGGGACCTGCTGCTGGGGCCAGGCACCCTGACAGTTGGGGTGGGGGGCACTGTGGGAGCTCTTTGCCAGTCCCCAAGTGAAACAGAGCTCCCAGCTGGAAACCAAGCAGTCCCTGGGGGCTGACCCTGGGCTCGGTTCCGAGAGGGCTCCTCCACCTGTCCCCTCCCACTCCCAGCTCTGAGCTTGCCTCTGAGCCTGTCATCATCTGCCCGATTTGCAGTCACAGCCTAATCTGACCTCATTCTCATGCAACAGCTCAGGGCAACTCCAACAGCCCCGAAGGCCAGAGGCCCCAGGTCTAGAGGACCCCCGGGGTGGGTGGGGGGGGCGGGGAGTGGCTGCACATCAACCTGGGAACAGCAAAGATTCTGCAATATGTTGGGAGGGTTGTGGAGAGAAGCAGAAAGGAACTTGTTGTCAGAAAAGAACTCTGCTACCACAGGCTGGGCAGGACAACAGGGCTCCCATGTGAGCCCCTTCCACCTCCCACTCATCTCCCTGGCATCTTCCCTGGCCCATCTGTCCTGATCCTGAGACAGCAAGCCCACCAAACCCTCCACAGAAACATACCGAGACTCCCTACCCTAGTTCCCTTCTGTACAAGACCCTTTGCTCACGGCCTTCACTCGGCCTAGAATTCTTTGTTTTTATTCTTGACTTAGAAAACCCCACGGCCCAGTGCCAATATCGCCTGTTCTGTGAAGCCTCCCACCAGTAAGGATTAGTCCTCTCCCTGAGCTCCTGTCTGCTCCCGTTTAGAACGGAGTGGACATACACTGCCCACGGGACCGAGCGCCTGCGGGACAGGATCCCTCCCAGGCCCCCCTGTGGGCAGCCGGCAAGGGGCTGGCGCCTGGGGGTAACTGAGCCATGTTCACTGCGTTGACTACAAGTAGCACATCCCCCTTTGTTCTCACTTTTTAAAGCCGTTTGTTCTTGCAGCAATGATCTAGGATAGAATTAGAACAGAATAATTTCATAGCAACAAAGCTGGAAGCTTGATTGTTTCTTGCCCTCATCACTAATTTTTACTGAAACCCAGGCTAAGAGGGAGCCATGGTGCAGGGGAATGGGAGGCACCCAAGGCTCCCCAACCATGCTGCCTTCTAATCAACTTGAGCAACTTCGTCAGGGGAACCAACTCCTCACAGCTGGGCGGGGTGGCTGGGAATAGCGAGATGACAGCGTGCTGCTGGGGGAAGTTGTCATTCTATGGGACCTGTGACCCAGGGCCCTAGTCAAGGATTCTAGGTTATCTAGAAAGAAGCCACTTAGTCAAATCTGGAGACAAGGCCAGGTTACAAGCTCAGGGACGCTTGGCCCTGAAAGGGACCAACCAATTCCATCATTTTATGGATGGAGACTAAGGCCTAGGCAAGGACAGCAACTGGTTCAAGGCCACGTGGAGTAAGAGACAGGGCCAGGGTCGGAACCAGGATACCTAACCTCTAGTCCAGGGGTGGGCAAACTTTTTGACTCGAGGGCCACAATGGGTTCTTAAACTGGACCGGAGGGCCAGAACAAAAGCATGGATGGAGTGTTTGTGTGAACTAATATAAATTCAAAGTAAACATCATTACATAAAAGGGTACGGTCTTTTTTTTTTTTAGTTTTATTCATTTCAAACGGGCCGGATCTGGCCCACGGGCTGTAGTTTGCCCACGGCTGCTCTAGTCCCTCATTTTTCCTGCTAACCTACTGCCACTACACCAGCTGGGATTACTTGAGGGTTAGTGGAATGGTATACAAGTGCTCTTTTTTTATGGATCACTATTAAACTACAGTTGAGCAATGACATGTTGTTTTTAAAAAGGTGTAAAATGTCCCATTTTTAATATAAAAATATAGCAAATGGAAAATTCACTAAATTCAGTAACATTCATTATCTACCTTCTTGCTGGGTGTTGACTTGCATACCTGAGATAGAGATGTGGAATGAAGGCCCCTGCTAGCTAGTAGGCCTCCTAGGAATCCTCCCTAACCCTGCTCACGGCTCCATGGTGCCTGGCCAAACCACAGACATAACCAGGGAGCTGCTCGCCTTTTGATGCTGTAATCCTAATGGCAGAGGCAAATTCTGAGCATCAAACACACTTCTAAGTGTGCTGGCCATGAAATGCAATGATAAAAACATCAAACAAGTGAGAGACTCTTCTAGTCCTTTATTTCTTGGTTAACTTATTGCATGACACATGTCTCCCCCACCATCCTGCAGCAGCTGCCTGCATGGAACAGTGGAACGGGCTTTTGCAGACTCAGGGGCAGTGCTAGCTAGGTGGCAAGCTTTGCAGGGCTGGGCCCCGGTTCCCTAGGAGTCTGCATTCCGTATCAGTGTCCAACACATGGAGCTGCTTCTCCCATAGCCAGGATCCAGCAATCAAGGGTAGAAATGGGAGCAGCACCACTCACTACTACCCCTAGTGACTCACTGGCAAAATTTTCACTTCCTGGTCCTGTGACCTTATGCTCTGCTGGCCTAGAGGGCTTAGCTCAGGACTTAGTTCCAAAGGGAAAAATGCTTCCTCCCAGAGTCACAACAATGATTCTATTGGACTGGAAGTTAAGACTGACGCCCGGCCACTTTGGGCTCCTCATACCTGAGAGCGATAAGGCCGAGAAGGAGTTTCTGTGTTGGCTGGGGTGACTGATCCTCACTACGCAGGGGAAATCGGACTGCTGCTCCACAGTGGGGTAAGGAAGCGTATGTCCGCAGTAGGAGGTTGCTTAGGGCTTTCTTAGTATTAATTACCACGCCCCATGATTACAGTCAACGAAAAACTACAACAACCAATCCAGGCAGGACCACCAATGGCTTAGGCCTTCAAGGATAAAGGCTTGGGTCATCTAACCAGGCAAGGAACTGTGACCAGCTAGGTGCTTGCCAAAGGCAAAGGGAATACAGAATGGGTAGTGGAAGAAGGTAGTAGTTATCAATACCAGCTATAACCTTGTGACCCATTAGAGAAACAAGGACTATAATTATCATGAGTATGTCCTTATTTTGTTATGAATATGTTTGCAGGTGTGTGTGGTAAGCAAATATCTTTGTCTTCTTTCCCCTTAGTCCCTAATCTGGATTTTATTCTGTAGCATCTAAATATTGTTCATTTACATCATAGTACTTAAGTTATGGGATATCAAGAAGAGCAGAACTGAAAACATTGGGTCTCTTCCTGCCAGCGTTTGGAATAAAATTATACCATCTACTCTCCTGGGTGTCCAGCTTGCCGACTGCAGACCTTGGGACTTGTCAGCCTCCATAATTGTGTGAGCCAATTTCTTATCAGAAATCTCTTTCTTTATGTATATATGGCCTATTGGTTCTGTTAGAGAACCCTGATGAATACAACACACACACACACACACCTGCAAAGGCAATGCTATTCCCATATAATGGCCATGAAGGGAAGTGTAAGTGGTAGCTTCAGGAAGTCTGCACCGGTCCCTCCCGCAGGTGGTAGTGGTGGCTGTCCCTGTGCCTGTGACAACGTGGTCCCCGTTAGTGCCTACTCACATCAGGGTCCAGCTCATCCAGCTCATTTTCCAGGGTCCTGAGCTCGTCCTCTGTTAGGGCTCCGAGGATTTCATCTTCATCCAGGTCGCGGTATTTCTCTAGTTCTCGTCTGTACGACATTGTGAAGAACTTGTCTTTGTCTTCTGAGTTTCCGTGCTGATGTAAGATCTACCAGAAAGAGAAAGATCTTAGAAACACCCTTCTTGGATCTGCTCTCAGGGAAAATAAATGCTTGTCATTCACATGGTGGCCTGGGCACGTTTTATGAATCGTCAGGATAATGATACTATAGCAGAATACTGCACTAAGTTGGACTAATTCCATAATAAAACCACACAAGGTGCAAGTCCTGAGGGCAGGTAATTTAATGAATCCTAATTAATTGCACTGGCATGACCACTAGTTATGAGTAACTGGTTATTATAAATGGCTTATGAGTGCCTGAAAACTATTTTATTCTTCAAGTAGTTTAAATACTTTTCAGTACAATCCTCCGCCCTTCAGCCCACACCCCAATGGAAAACATGAATGCTGGAAACTCTGCCAAAGCTGTTCTTAACAGAGGGGGGTATCAGTGGTTAACTGGGCACCTGCTTCCTGCAGGCCCTTCACCTACACTATCTCATCCAATCCTCATAAGAAACAGCCAGCAGCAAAGTTAACTTTTACTACCACATGTCAACTCATGCGTTAAGCAATTCATAAGGATTTCCTCATTTAATCTCTGAGGTAGGTGTTAGCTGTTATCTCCATTTTGCAGGTGAGGATATTGAGCTTAGAGAGGTTGAGAGGCTCCCAGAAATCAGGACACTGTGAAGCAGCAGAACTAGCATTGGAAGCTGGGTCTACTGGCTTTCCGAGCGCATTGCTCTAGCCATTGTATTCCAACACCTTTTTCATAGAATCACTGAAGTCCTGGCCAGAGGAGATTGCCTCCTCCAGACCCTTCATATTACTCCTGAGGGAGCTGGCTCAGAGGGAGAAAGTGATTGGTGTGGGGGGAGGGGGATGGTCCAGGGTCCTTGCAGATATAATTAATTTAGATGAGGTCATGGTGAAGGGCGGGCGGGCCTCGAACCCAACATGACTGTGTCCTTATAAAAGGAGGGAATGTGGGCAGCCAGGCATGCAGGGAGACACCATGTGAAGATGATGAAGGCAGAGATTGGGGTGATGCTCCCACAAGCCAAGGACACCGAAGACTGCCAGCAAACTACCAGAAGCTGGGGCGAGGCTGGGACAGAGCCTCACAGCCTTTGGAAGGAACCAACCTTGCCCATACCTTGATCTTGAACTTCTAGCCTCTAGAACTTTGAAACAATAAATTTCTGTTGTTTAAGCCACTCGGTGTGTGGTGCTTTGTTATGGCAGCCCTAGCAAACATACAGTCAGTATCACCTTCCTCACAGCAGTTTGTGTTTTTAGATGCCCCCACCCCATGCAAACAAACAAAACCCACGGCTCATCTGTGAAATGACTGATGGAATTCTCCAGAGTAGAGAGAAACAAAACGAGGGAGAGACAACCAACTAATCAGTCAAAAAGGTGGTATTAACTGTTAATTAAAAATCATGAAAATAGTTAAAATAAACTGAAACTGAAGTCCACTAAGCTAACAGAAATGTCTCCATTTCAGAAGGCAGAGATACGTGTTATTAATGTGGGCTTGTGCATGTGTGGGCATATTTGTAGAAGAAATCCCAGTGTGTGACAGCTGGCTTGATAAAAAAGATCTAGCTTCCCAAATACAGAAAACCCCAGGGCATCCTTTTCTCTAAGAATGGCTCGCTTGGCCTGTTGTCTTCCTCTGACCAGACCCCAAGAATGCAATGTTAAGGCCATAAGTACCCCCACCTCCCCTCATTCATTTCTATTTACTTCCAAAGAAAGCAGAAGCAGCTGACAATGTTCTGGTAAAATGAAAAATCCTTCCTGAAGGCTCTCAGAGAATAACCTAATTTGGCTTTTCCTAAGTGGAGCCAGGAGAGGTCTCCATCCCGGGGCCAAGAACAACCCCAGTCAAGGGCTTAGAATCTTCCAGAACCAACTCATAGAGCTACCTCTGAACGAGTGTCTCTTAAGTGGGTTGCAAAACATGTTTTTGGTGCTCAAACAGGTTTGGGTTAATGAAGTTCCACAGGACTCTGGGCTGCAGGACTTCTAAAAAATTCTGGTATGTTCCACACACTGAATGTCTCCAAGAGGGCTGGGTTACAAGCAGAACTTCCCGTCCTTTTGACCATGAAAACATGTCTCTGGAAAACGGCTCCTGGAGTTGGACTCTCGTGAAATGAAGTTGGGAAAACAGCCTTAGACTCACCGCTGGGTCAGAGAGAGGAGCTACTCGGACTCACGCAAGAAGGGACATAGGAACAGGACCAGCTAGGGAAGGCTGGCCCAGGAGCTGGCTTGTTTGTTATCTTTGCCAGCTGATTCATTTTCTAGATAATTTGCATGAAAATCCTTAAAAAAGTCATGGACAGACACTGAAGAGAGCTGAACCAGGAAGAAGGAACAGGGGAGAAAGGAATCTATATCAAAGCCAGCTTGGAAGAAAGGAACCGGGAGGGAGCCCAAGGAGAGAAGGAGGTGGGACCGCCAGGGAGGCCATCCTGAGGCTGCCGTCATTAAATTTCCTGAGGATCAAGTCTCGCTCTTAGCACACACAAGAAAGATAACCATCCACTTACACACTCAACGGTGCTGTTGAATTAAAAAATCCTATTTCAGAGGACTTTAAAAGGCTCTTTCTATTGTCAAGTGTCCTGTGAATATTACAGAGCGACGCGGCACTACGTTAAATAAGCTGAGAGGCACGGAGAACTCCTAAGGTAAACTTCGAAGCTGTGAGCTTCAAGCCACACTCATCCACTCGGCTCCCAGGCATGGTTTCTCTAGAGCGAGACTCTCCTCCTGTGGTCGATGACGGGGAACTGGAGGTGGGGAAGGGAGGGGCTGGGAAGGGGGTGAAAATCCCGTTCTACTAGAGCCCACTGCAAGCTGGGCCTTAAAACACGGCTTGGAAGAGATGGTACGTTACAGCTGTTAATAAAAGGCCTCTGTCTCCTAATAAAAGAGCTGTCATGGATGGACACAGGCCTGAGATTCCGAAGACTTTGGTTGGAGTGAGAGTTGTGGTAACTCCTCGGGGTGCCCTCCGGGCTCCGGGGGGGGGGGGGGGGGGGCTCCTCTCCTCCCGGCCTCCGTTTGCGCATCTGTAAAGTGAGCATCAGTGGCCTGGGAAATTCTGCTTGTAACCCATCCCGCTCGAAGGCATCCAAGACCTGGATCACAGGGGAGATCTCGGGGCCCTCCTGGGGGTTAAGATGAGAGGCCAGTCGAGGGGGCTCACCCCTGATTTTACCTGATCGGTTTATTGGGGTTTCATGTAAGAGTTCCCTCGAAGAAAGGATTCAGCTGCTAAAATAAAAAGTTGGGAATCACTGGACTGGGTTTCTTTATCTATATAGTGGGAGGGTAAGAGTACTCCCCGCTAGGGTGTTGTGAGGAGTAACTGGCAACAAGCAAGTAAGGCATAAAGCCGGGGCTGGTGCACGGGCAACCAGGCTCATAACTGGGAGCCCTTATCATGAGGCTGCTGCTGGAGTCACCGCCGCCCCAACCCTGCTCCCCACACACATCACCAGAGGGTAGCTTCCCTCAGGCAGCCCTGTGTCTTACTGGTCCTCACATCCCGGTGTCCGGCCCTGTGCCTGGTGAACGTACTAGTAGGGAACGAGCCCATTTGGGTTTTGGTCTCAAAAGTGTCCTTGGAACTTTGGGCAAGTCCCTTCTCTTCTTGGATCCTCTCTTTTCCCACCTTTAAAACGGAAAGATGTGACCAGGTCTTGGAGGGCTGGGAGCCCGAGAGGGGGAGGGAGCGGGAGGAAGAGAGAGGAGGAGGGCGATGAAGCTGCCAGGGCCCCTGCATGGCCCGCCCGAAGCAGAACAGTGCCCACTGCCTGCTTCCTAAACCGGTCCCGGTCCCGGTCCCAGTAAGAGCTGGTGAGAGAAGTAAGGGGCAGCTCCATAAATGTAACACCCATTTAAAAACCGAAGTCTCTCAAAGCTGGTGTGTATATCACACTGAGTGCATCTGGCCACCCTGCTTCTCAGCAGCCTTAAGCTGCTGCTGCTAAATATGAAAAAAAAAAAAAAAAAAAAAACAATGTACAAGCTGTGCCAGGAAATAAAGCTGGGAGGGATGGACAGTAAAAACCAGCGGGTCAAGGGCTGAGGCCATCCATCAGCGGCTTCAGAAAGGAGAGGTCGGAGACGGGACGCTCCTGGAGAACCAAATAAGCCTTTAAATCTCTCACCGAAGTGGGCCCTGTCACTCCCGCTAATGGCTCCTCCGGCCTCCGCCCCTGTGGGAACACTTGGGGGAGGCGCTGGAGTAGCATCTTGATTTACGGCATACACTTCCCTGAGGTCAGGAGGAGCTGAGTCACAAGTTCAAATGAATATTTTCCACTTATCGCATCTTCTTATTTAGCCACAGAGAACATCTGAATAGTGGGCGAAGAAAGAGTGATTAACAAAGTTATTTCATACCCCATCTCCTCCTGTCTCTGGCTCTTCTATTTTGGAATTCACTTTGTTGTTGTTTAATCCTCACTCAAGGATGTGTTTCTATTGCTTTTATTGAGAGAGAGGGAAGGAGAGTGAGCGATGAGGGAGAGAGAAACAATTATGTGAAAGAGAGATATTGATCAGTTGCCAATCGGGGATCCACCCCACAGCCTGCGCATGTGCCCTGACCAGGAATCGAACCTGCAACCTTTCAGTGTATGGACTGAAGCTCCAACCAACCAAACCACACCGGCCAGAGCTGGAAGACACTTTGGCTAAAGGGTAATGCCCTGCGCCCTCACCACTGAAGGCTGTGCCTCTCTCTTCCGGGACACACGCGGGCCTGAGAGTCCCTATTCCTTTGGAAGGAGCTGTCTCTCCCAAGCCCTCCTTCAAGGGGCACCTATGAGGGGCAACCATGCTTTATATCATCACCCCCACCCCCAGCAGATTGGACGGAACAGGTGCCTGATTCAAGTCAATGACCTGGAGGTGGCCGGGACAAGAAAAAGGATGAGTTGGCTGAATACGAGCTCCTTTCCTCTTCGGCATTTGTGTTCATTTCCCGGGGCTGCCCTAACGGAGACCACAAACCAGATGGCTTAAACAGCAGCAAGTTATGTCTCTCCGTCCTGGAGGCTAGAAGTCCAAAATCTAGGCGTTGGCAGGGCTGGTTCCTTCTGAGAGCTCAAAGGGCGAATGTGTTCCATGCCTCTCCCCCTGCCCTGGGAGCCTCAGGCTTTCCGAGGCTTGAGCTGGCCGGCTCCCAGTTCTGTACGTGTCTGTGTCCAAATGTCCCCTTTATATAAAGACACCAGTCGAATTAGACTAAGGCCTTTCCTCACGACCTTATCTGAACTTGATCATCTACAAAGACCCTATTCCCAAATAAGGTCACATTTATAGGTAGAACTTTTGGAGGGAGATAATTCAACCCATAACAGCACTGAACTGGGACATAAAGAGGGGATAAGGCAGGTGGTAGGGGAAGCTGGGAGTGAAGAGAGGTGAATGTGTGAGAGCTGAGGCCATGAGGTAAGAGACGCGTGGGGAGTGAGAGTCTTCATGGGGGATGTGTGAATTCATGGGCTGAGAGAGAGATGGAGAACATGGTGTCCCCAGACGTGCTCAGTCCCTGCTCCCTCAGGCCTGCATTGCTATGGCTCATGTTGGATTCCTGAGGCCCCTGTCCTCCCACAGTCCTTAGGAGGTCCCCGTCAAAGCACTCAGGTACCTTTGAGTGAGTCCCTGCTCCTACAGCCAAACAAGAGGAGAGCTCAGACTCTCACCCTCTGCTTCCCTCCTTCTCAGTCTCCTTGATGATGGATTCTTCTTGCCCAGCTGTTCCCCTGGGCTCTTCCCTCTTCTCACTTCTCGCACTCCCCTGGGGTTCTTATCTCCCATGTGAGGTCTGTTACCAGAGATAAGCTGATGACTCAGATGGTCTCTCTCCAGCTCAGGCTCCCTGCTGGGCATGTCTCCTGGCGTCCCTCAGGCTTCACGTGCCTGCCCCTGAGCATGGCCCACCTCTCCTCCACCACCATCTCCTCACCTGGGTGATGGCCCCTCTGCCGTCCATCAGTCACCCAGGCCAGACACCTGGGGTCAGCCTGAACTCCCCCCTTCCCACTCCTGAGCTCTCGTAGGTCCCCACACCTGTCAATCCCCTCTCTCTTTTTCCTCTCTATCTCTTTATCTTTTTTGAATGTTATAGTTTTATTTAAATTGTGCTAAAACATATGTAACATAAAATTTTAATCATTTTAAGTGTAAATTTCTGTAGCATTCATATTGTTGTGCAACCATCACCACCAGTCATCTCCCCAACTGAAACTCTGTCCCCATTAAGCACCAACTCCTCATCCTCCTCCACCCCCACTCCCAGCCCCCTGAAACCACCACTCTGCTTTCTGACTACTCTAAGTGCCTCACCTGAGTGGAATCATACATTACTTGTCTTTTTGGACTAGAATCCTACCTCTCTAACAGCCTTTGTGTCTGTCCCTCCTCCCCAGCTCATGGGGCTTGCCTTTTTAAATCTATGTTATTACAACAGCTTCCCAAAGGGTCTCCCTGCCTCCATTCTCCTACCTTCCTGTCCAGATGATCTTCGTGAAAATCAGTTCTGATGCTGCTCCCAAGCGGAAAGCCAACTTCAACAGCCCCCATTATGTCAGACATCACACTCCCCAGCCTGGGGCTTGAAGCCATCCCTGAGTACCCTGGAATTTCACACAGCACCCCCAGCCTCCTTATTGGTGCACGTGGCCTCTCCCCACACCCTCCGGTGCAGCTCTTTGAAAGCAGTGCTTCCCCATCTTACAGAGGAGACTGTGGCTCCCACACCTCTCAGCCCCCAGGCGGGGCGGGCAAGGGCAGCAACCACCTCTGACCTGCTCCCCACCTCTGTGCACAGCCCTGGCCTGGCTCCCAGTCAAGGCACCAGGACTGCAGATCAGTCAGGAACAGAGTTCTGGGGACAGTCCCCCAGGAGCAGGGTGGACAAGCATGTTCTACCCAGGCCAGCGATCCGCAGGGAAGATAGTAAATTGGCCTCGACCAGAGATGGTGGGGGTGGGTAGGTGTGAAAGGGGTAGATAGCAGGTAATGGAAGCTTTTGGGGAGCTTCCTCAATGGTTACATTTTAAAACACTTAAAATGCGATGCAGTAATTATACCAACAATCACTCCGCTGCGCAGAGACCCTTGCAGCTTATGAAACAACCACCACTTTCAGGCCTGCAGGTTCACGTGCCCTGTAACCTGGGTGTGTTGTCACCATGAGGCCATCCGGACAGACAGGGAAAGGGAGACAGCCGGACTGAGGGCTGAGCTCTCCCAGCCCCCTAGGTCCCAACCCCCTGCCTCCTGCTTCCCCGGGGCACCCTGCGTGAGGCCTGAGCCACTCCCCCTGCCCTGCTGATTCTCTCAAGCACGGCTGCCCATGGAACTGGCCAGGACCAGTGCAAAATGAGGCTGTGGGGTCCTTTGTTCAAAAATGGGGGGAAAGTGCTATCAAAGGTACTGAGACATGAAGTTTTTCCTTTCTCTCCTGGTCTCTCTCTCTCGATCGATCACGGCGTTTTTAAAATGTACCATTTAATGTCACTGTCTACACAGGTGCCCAGAGCAATTCACACCAAGTCCAGTGGCTGCCAGCTGAGCCAGGCATCTCCCCTTCCTTCCCATAGGCCGCTGCCCCAACACATGAGCCTAAGTGCCTGGGTCAGGGGTAGAGATAAGAGGCTTGCCCCCAGAGTTGCCAGCTTAATGCAACAACGGGGAGCGGGGGTGGGGGGGGTGTGTGTGCAGAGAACCCCAAATGGAAGCTGATTGGGTGTGGGGAAGAGAGGCTAGTGGGGCCTGGGGGTGACGGGAGGTGAGGCAGCTGGAGTCTAAGAAACATCGCCAGGAAGCACAGAGGCAGCAGGAGGTGGGTCCTCCTGTGAGCCAAGGCTCCGAGCACTGGTGCATACGCCTTTGTCAGTGGGGCCTCATTTAAAAATAGAAACCCAGAGATAAAATGAAGAATTTCAAGAAAGCATCTGCAGCGCGTTTAACCAAGCACGGGTTAAGCGGGAAAAGGGCTCTGTGCAGCCGCACAGCCTACAGCCCTCTTCCCAGGAGACGTGCCTCGAAGGCCCCAGGGCCAGGCTCAGCCTTTTCTTACCTGACATGGTTCTCCTCCTCCCTGTTTTCTTCCAGATCCTGGGATCCCTGTCCCCTGGATCTATAGGCAGCTGGGGCCATGTACAGTGGCAGAAGGAGCTCAGGTGGGAGTGGACTGGTTACAAGTCCTGACTTTGGTTGAGGACTTGCTGTGTGACCTGAAGCAAGTTGCTGTACCTCTCTGGATCTCAGTTCCCACAACCTAATTGAGTGTTTATTGAAGACCTACTTTGTGCAGTGTGGGCTTTTGTGGGAGAAACAGAAATTAATAAGGGAGTCCCCAGCCCTTCGGAAGCTTACAGTTAAGGATCCCTGGGGTAATGTCAAACGCATCATCTCTTCATCCACTACCCTCACAGGGTCATTAGCTCCACTTTACCAATGAGCCTCCTGCCGGGTCAGCCTGGTAAAAGGTGAAAGCTCGCACTCGGGTCCTGCAGACCTGGGCTAACACCCCGCTCTGGCTCTTACTGGCTTGGCAGCCTTGGGCACGTCACTCATTGTCTCAGGGATTTGTTCGTAAAGCGAGGGCACAACAGGTACCTCTCAAGGGTGCTATGAAGGGGAAATGAGATGAAGGATGATGCGGTTCAGCTTGCTGGTTTTTATGCCCCTGCCTCAGTCCCAACAAGCACCAGCCCAACAAGCCAGCCCTAGATGGGCTGAACAGCCATGGAAAGATCTGGGGGTTCTCAAGTGACTGTCCCCCCAAATGTAAGTCAACAGTGTGAGGCCTTGGTCCCAAGAGTCAGGCTGCTATCTCTGCTGCATGAATGAAAGTACAGTGGCCACAGCAGGGCTGATGATGGTCTTGCTGGACTTCATGCTGGAGCTCAGCTCTGGGCTCCTACTTTTGATTGGAGAGCTGTTTGTGTGTGTGTGTGTGTGTGTGTGTGTGTGTGTGTGTGTGTGCGTTTAAATAAGGAATTGGTTATACAGTACACAGCCACAGTATACAGCCAAGTGTGCAAACCTTAAGGGGACAGCTGCCTGAATTTTCCCATAGGCACACACCTATGTAAACACGCAGATGAAGATATAGGACATTTCTAGCTTTCTCACTCCCCCTTCCCACCCCATCTCCCTAAATGGTAACTACTATTCTGACTTTTAAAACCGTAGATTAGCTTTGTTTTTGAACATACATAACTGGAAAAGTACAGCGGGTATGTGGCCACTGGGAGTTGACAAGTTGAGATTTAAGGCCCTTCAAGACCTGCTTCTATTATGAAAAACATGTTTGGGGCCACTGAGCGGACAGAATGGGGACTCAGAGACCAGCGGTCTTTAAAAGACTGTTCTCAGGCCCATGTGCACTTATTTTCCCTGGCTGATCTCATTCTCTTAGTCACATGGGAAAGCACCTTCTGAAAAACCAGAGAAGCTGAACACGGTGACTCCATCTCTCTCTGCAGTTGCTACGAGCTCCCTCCCGGGGCACACTGAGCCTCGAAGGTCCACAGGTCCGTCAACGATGTCCAGTGAGTGGAGTCAGAAAGGCCCAGTGTGTGTTTATTCTGCATCTCTTGAGGTCATCATGGTGCCTGAGTCACTGCATCAGTCACTGTAAGTAACAGGGCTCCAGGAAAGGACTTTGAGATCATCTCTCTGCCCCACTGCCCTGCCCACCTGCCCTGCGAACCATGTCACTCTCCATTTTCTGGCTTCTTCTCCCCTCATCTCTTCAACTTCCCGAACTAGGGAAGCCCTAGTTCAAAGCCCACTAGTGCCCTCGACCACTGTGCCCTCCCATCAACCTCTGTCTCCTGTGTCATCTCTCTCCACACCAGCTTAAAAGGCATCTAGCAACCAAATGTCTTAATACAAATGGGAGAGGCCGTCAGAGTTCTGCCATCAGAGGTATCCTCTCATTAAAACCCCCACCCAAGACTGAAAGCTAGTTGAGGGCAAGTATCTCTGTCTCCCCTGGCCCAACACAAAGCCCTGCACCTCTCAGGGGCTGAAGGCAGTTAGTTGCATAAATGAATGAATGCCTAGCAGGATAATTCGTTTTGACAGTCATAAGTCAAAACCACTGGCAGATAAAAACTGGCTGGTAGAAAAACTTGTGGAGCTCACCCCTGTTCTTGTCCATTTTACAAGCACAAACTTTATCACCTTGCCTCATACATTTATGAAGAGTGGTCTTATATTTTCTAAAAAACCCATGTGGAAATTAGCACTAACAATGCCAAAAGGCAAATAGCAAATCGGGGAAAAAATATTTGCTGCACATTGAACAAAGGGTTAATTTGTTTAATAGACAAAGATATAGATAGATGATAGACAGAAAGAAAGAAAGAAAGAAAGAAAGAAAGAAAGAAAGAAAGAAAGAAAGAAAGAAAGAAAACAGCCCAGCAGAAATTTAGGAAGAGGAAAGGAACAGGCAATTCACATAAGAATACAAATGGCTAATAATCCTATCAACAGATTCGAAGCCCACTTGTAACTATAGAGAAGTCAATTGAGAAATGAGATCAGTGCTCCTCTACGGGATTGACAAAGAGAAAAGTCCTAGGCCTTCCAGTGTTCCCAACATGTGGAGGAGACCAGCGTGCTCACACAGAAGGGATCTACATTGGTGCACCACCCTCTGTCAAGACAAGGTAAGCCATATCTATCAAAATGCACCCACCCCTGACTCAGCAATTCCACTTCTAAGAATTTATCCCACCAGTGTACTCACTGAACAAAGGGAGGCAAGATGAATTGGCACGTGCCCCACTGCATGCCCCGCCCACC